CAAATTCAGTCAGAATACAAAAAAAGAAGAAGAAAAAGCTTTTCTTACGACCAGGAAAATGAATAACTTAAACAAAGGATACGGAAAATTGAGTTCAATCGACTTTTTTGCGCCCAAAAGAATTAAATAAGTTTGAAGCATGCAGTTTTAAGCCCCCACTCTGTGGATGAAACAAAGGCGTAGGTGGTTGGAGGGTGGAAATTTTCATTGCCAAAATAGAGTCTAAGTTTCCCTCTCTTACAACCCCCCCCCCCTTTTGAAGCCTAATATTTGGAAATTTAAAATTTGAGTTGAGCCTGATTTTTCCTACAATGTTGATTCATTACATACAATATTAGATGACTGGAAACAATTCAACCACGGCGGTTTAAGTTAATAATATTGATGAAAATAACATTAAAGCCTAACGTTCTAGAAAAAAATTACCTGATCTGATGTTTTCAAAATTCAAATAAATTTTTAAATCAAATTTTTTTCATATGTTTTTCATATGTTAAAAGAAGAAGAAAAAGCTTTTCTTACGACCAGGAAAATGAATAACTTAAACAAAGGATACGGAAAATTGAGTTCAATCGACTTTTTTGCGCCCAAAAGAATTAAATAAGTTTGAAGCATGCAGTTTTAAGCCCCCACTCTGTGGATGAAACAAAGGCGTAGGTGGTTGGAGGGTGGAAATTTTCATTGCCAAAATAGAGTCATTGTATATATCAGCTTCTAACTTAAAAGAATAATCGAATAAATGTTTCAGGGAGACTCGTAAATTTCTATTTGAGGAAAGAATTGAAACGAAAAATCATACAAAATTTTTTTTACTTCAAATTAATGAAGGAAAAAAATAATGAAAAATTATGAAAAAGGAAGATAAAATAGCTCATGCAGAAATTGACTTGCTGAATTAGCAAAAAAGCTGCAGCACTCCACTGTCTCAATACTGCTGGATTACGAAGAACAAAAAAGGCGCGAAGTCTCTCGCATCCTCTTCTGCAGCTATAGCCATCCATCAACGCGTGCTTTCCGTTGGCAATCAGCGCTTTGGGCGATGAAACGGCGGGCGGTGGGTGGGTTTTAAGGGTGCCGGCAGAGCGTGTTTTTTGCCCGCGACCACCACAAAAGCAGCAGATGATACAGAGTGGGCAAAGAAGAACACGTCAGGCGGTCGACGGCCCCTCGGGTGAATTTCGGCAACAACATAATGCACCCGGGCGGGCGGTGCGTTTCAATTTCCTGGCCTGTCTGTCGCCGGCCCATTCATTGGCCAAACGTGCGCGTGTGATAAATATATTCGCACCTCCACACCACAGCGGCATTATTACGCAGAAAACGTCGCTATTTGCAGCAAATAGCGCCGCCCGAATATTAAAACTGCCGGCTCGGAGCGGCCGGGGAATGCAAATTACGCGCTGCTCGCGGCGGCGCCTCCACTCACGCCGTAATTTCCGTAATTGAGCCGTCGCCCGAGAAAACACCTGCATGCAAATTGCTTTATAAATGACTCCGAAATCTAATCAGCGGTTTCGCAAATTGTGCTCCATCACTGTCGGAGACACCTTGCGCGCCTCCACCACTTTTTATTATTCCAAATCTCGTCGGCTACGCGGAATTGCCGCCCTCGCGAGTAAAAAAATTCATACCGTGGCAGAGAGAGAGCGAGACGAATCACGCAGATGCTTTTTCATTTCGCCCTTTCTCTCTTTGTGCGGCACTCACCATTTTTTACCTCCATGTCATAATTTATCGGCGAAATTGAGGACAAAAAGTTTTATGCGTGTGTGATTAATGGCGCTCGCAAAAATTCGCTTTGTTTCATTTCTTAAATTTTTGTAGGCAATTAATATACATTAAATAAGTCATCTCTTTTCCTAAAATTCAAAGCTTTAACACATATATTCTTTAAAAATGTAATCTACTTACAAAATAAAGTCTTTAAAGGCTTTAAGGAAAGTGTTCTTTTATCCAATATAGCAAAGATTTCTTTGATATTTATAATTATTAATGTTTATATCCTTAAAAAATTGAAGATTAGGACAAATTTAAATTAATTAACATTTATTGATAATGTGTGGAAAATAAAAAAGGAACTTCTTAAAGTTCTTAAATCACATATAAAATCTGCGAAATATTGACGAACTAACAAAAGATTGATTACAAAATTTCATTTCAAATTGTTACATAGTACATACATATGGCTGTTTTGTGTGTCTTATAATTGTTGCTTAAATTTATGAAAAGTTTAATTTGCAATGAACAAGATAAATAAAATTTACTTCACAAATCATAATAAAGAATTCAAATTATTTAAAAATTATCCATCACACATTTATGTTATAACTTAAAACTTCCACTATTTTCAACCTAAATTAAATTAGTAAATTTAATGATCATGTATTTAATTTTCGTTTTTGGTTTATACAGGTTTTATCCTAATGAATTTACTGAACACTTAAACTTCAAAAACAAAGCGCAGGTATGTCGTTTAAACTTTAACCCGTTCCATTCAAAATTCATAAATCGCAAAGCGTCCGCCCGCCCGGCTAGAAATTAATAACGCTTTTGGCTAATTAGCGCAGCATCCGCCGCCGCCCGCTTTTGGCTCGATAATGAATAATTGATATAAACGAGCGCTTATACGTGTGTGCACCGAAAATGCATCTCTTAGGCGGCACGTCGCGGCCGGATTAAAATTTAATAAACGCCAATCTCCGAAGCTGGCTTCGAGCCGCAGGATTTCGCGAACGTGAGCGCGAAACAAGCCGGGCCTTTGTTATGCACACCAAAGTCTCTCCTGACGCTCTAATAATCTCTCAGCTAGTCAAAACTGGAGCGAATGCCGGCGGAATTTCGCAAGAGCCAATTTTGCATTCTGCCCTTGTGCCAGAGCAAAAGTTTTCCTCTCGCCGACAGACGAAGAAGATAAACTTTAGGATTGATTTTGAAATGAGAATGGAAAAAATGTGCTTTTTCAGCGAACTGGGCAAACATTGATTTTTTTTTAAGAAAAAATCATCAGTGGTCTTTCATCTGGCAAATACATTTTCATATTCCCCTCTCTTGTTGACAAAAGAAGAAGGTTTTTATATTTTCCTTTCGCGCCACAACGGTTTAATGCTGCTCGAATTGGGGGTGCGGAAATAATGTTGCCGGTGTTTGCAGAGCAAGAGTGCTCCTCCCCGCCGGGCCAGAAAATTCGCCGAGTTTTTTGGAGGAAGCTTTGATTTCTGTTGTTTTTCCTGTCAATAAAACCAGCAGATGGGATTCCGGCAGCAAAACGACGCCTGCAGAAGCCTCACTATGAGAATATATGTTCCTTTTCCATGCAGCGAGACTCACGTTTCACCCCCCAAAAAATAGCCCATTCGCCATTCGATATTAAAGGGGTGTTCACTCTCTGCCCAAGACTTGCTTGGGTTCCACTTTGCACGGCCGTTTTCTCTCTTTATTGCTCGGCAAAACAGATCAATAGTGTAGTATCGTCTTCCAAGCTTCTTGCATTTCAGTGAAGTCTCAAGTTGCTCGTTGGGGTTTAAACACTTGACCTTCGGTTATTGGATTATTTACTCCTTTTCCGCGTGTTTTCATGCTGAACGTGAATTAAAAAAAAATAATAATATTTTTCGTTTCCACTTGACTTAAATTATTAAAAACTAATTACAATATTCACATTTAACCATTTTTTTCATCATTTAAAACGTTCCTTCAGAACCTGAAAATGAGAAGAATGCATAAGAAACCACAAATCATTTTTTCTTTGTCTGCTAAACTTTTTATTATTAATTAATCATTATTAAAAATTGTATAAATGTAAAATAAATTAACGCAATTAAAAAAACATTGATTTAAATTTAATAATATTTTCTATTTTTTAATGTTATAATAATAGTTTTAAAAATATTAATTAAGATTAAATAGCTAGAAATATACTCATTTCTTATTTGTTTTAATTTTCTATTGCTAAAAAATTAAATACTTTTTTAACATTTAAAATTTATATATACTGACCAATTTTTCTTTGTCATTTATGTTTGCTTATTTTCACAACAGCTCCTAAGACTCTAAATTCTAACACTCTGAAGTATATCATTTGGTTTAAAATCCAAAAATATTTAATATTATTACTTAACTAATTTTTAAACCGCAGTGGCAATTCATCTTGCTCTTAATTAAATGAAAGCCTTACCTGCTAAGCCTCGTCCGCGACTAATGACTCCTTTGTTTAAACAATACGCAATACGGCCTTCCTTTAAATTGCATGTCGGGTCCTCGAAATAATTTCACCACAGTAGGATCCCCACGGAGTACAAGAAAAGCAAATTACCTCCATTCTCTCTTTATCTCCTTACACCGCTTCCCAGAGTGCAAAAGTGCATTCGAAATTAGGCCTCTGGCGTCGGCTGCTAAGGGGCGCCATCAAATTCGGGGATAATTTGAGGAGGCCCATAAAGCGGCGGGATCCCTCGACGGAAAACGACGACGACCTGGTGCTTTTTATTATTGCGAATGTTTCTTATTCGCGCAGCAACGCCGGCGGCTGAAATCGCGCGAGTGGCTTTGATGCAAAACTTGCCGACGCGGCACAAAGCCTGCCTCCATTTTACAGCCTCGGGCGGCTTTACGACTATGGCGAAACTTTAATCCGTGTGAGTGCCTCATGCAAATCAAATAAACACATCGCAAGAAAAACAACAAGACTAACAAAGCAAGAAGAGCGAAGCAGGTTTCCCGCGCAAATATTGTACTTGCACACCTGCATTTCCTAAGGTAGAATCCGCCTCGGGGGTGCGCATGGCTGCAAAACAATCCGCTTCTGCCAGACAATGCTTTCGAGTGCGGTTGGAATTATTTTCATTTCATATGCGCAAGGATTTGCGCAAAAAAATTCTGTCCTTCTCGCTGACATGGATGAACAAACATTGATTACTTTCCAGGGAATATAAAAAAAGCGGCAGCCAGATTTCTGTTCTTCTTTTTTTATGTATATATGTTATTTTTGTACATCCAGAATTTCTCATAAAAATCGTCCGACATCACTCTAAGCTATACACATTTTTGCGGTGCGAGAGAAGTATGCGTAAATCCATTGAGTTGTGTGTGCCCTCTCATATTTCTCCCAGGCTGGGAGACAAGGAAAGAAAGCAGCGAGAGAAGAGAAGAAAAGAAGGAAAGCATATTTCGCTGTTTTTGACTCCCTCGTGTGCAAGTAAGAAACGAAATAAAAACAGAGAGAAAGACCGTTGGAGAGAGATGTGGAGGGTGAGATAAGCAGAGAGGAAGGATGGTGGTCGTTGACAAAAAGCAAGCGGGCGGGCCACCTCGATTTCCACCGCACACAGAGACAGAGAAGAGAGAGAAAGGGAAAATATTGTCCATCATCTTGCGTTTAGCGTTTGCGTTTAGGTGTTTGTTTTTAGCTGAGCATGCCGACATGCGGGTTAGGAACAAGCCTTTGTTTAGTTTCGTTACTTTTATTACAAAAGAGAGACAATCAAAGATATGTGACACGCTAAATTTCATCGTCATATAATACAATACTGTATAGTTTTATAACAAGAGGAATATAACAAGTTCGAGAGTGAGCAAGAATAAATCTGTCGTGTTGTATGTATATATCATTTTTTTAAGTACATCTTTTTTCCTCCTACGAGTTTGGCTTCGTCGTCCATGCAAATCTGCAAATTGGCCTCTTCTTCTTCTTTCTCAACTTCGTCCAAAAGAAAAACAACAAACTGCGCGTGTCTGTCCTTGTATCTTCTGAAAGTGTGAAAACAAAATGCGACGCTTTTCGAGTTGCCTCGTCGTCGGTTGGTCCTCTATAGGCCAGTGGCGATGTGCGGCTTGGCTGTGGTCGACGCGATCTCCGAGAGGCGCACGTCGATCGGAATTCGGTCATCGTACAAGGTGGGTGCCTGCAGGATGATGCCCGCCGTGCCCACCAACACGGCCAGTGTGAAAATCCACAGGAACAACCGGTCCAGCACCATCGCCACATACTTCCAGTCCTCTTTCACCTGCAAAAATCAAGCACACAAATTTTAATGCTTAATTTCAATACATAATGACAATCGTTTTGTAAATAATTGGATCAAACAAAATATAATTACTCAGCAAGAACCGTAATGTGTGTCAAATATTGTTACAGTTGTAATATTTAATAATTTACAAGCTAATTATCAATATTTTTTACTTGTCATTAACTTAATTTTCAAGTTTTGTATTAAATTTACTATGCTAAAATATTTAACTTATTTTGAAAAGATATATAAATTTTGTAAATTTTATCAAAAGTTTTGCGTACAACTTGTAAAATATTCAGGTTAAATATTTCAGTCGCTTCAAATAGACTCATTCCATTTTTACATTAAATTATATTAAATTAATATATATGTAATTTTTTTAAGCTTTTAAATTAACGTTAAGACTTTTGATAAATGAATTTTTCTGCATTATAAGTTTATTGTAAAATTAATAAAAATAATCAGAAACTCCGGGAAAATTACAAAGGTATTGATAAAGATTGTCTCTTCTCTGTTGAAATCATATTTTGAGAGTGCTGTGTGCAATTAAATTTGTTACTGAATAAATTTGAATCTAAATTAAAAGTCAATTAGGGCGATTTTAATTCATATTATAATGAATAATTCTGAAATCTATAATAGAAGTAAATAATATCTTGTAGATGTTACTCTTCCCCTTCTAAACTACCCTTGTTTCTACCAGCGGAGAAATATAGCAATTCAATGACACGGTTGAAAAGTCATTGAGATCATAATTCCTCTCGAGCGCGAACATAAATGCCTCTCCCTATTGCGAGCCATCAAAAAGTATAGGTCTCAAAATAATGAAAAAAAAAAGGATGCGATATAAAGTAGCCGTAGCAACGTCAACAACACAAAAACAACGGCTCCATTGAGACCTCTCACGATGCTTTTTAAGGAGCGATGGCGAGTGCAGAAAAACGCCGATAACCTGTTTATGTGTTCTTATGGTCCGATAAAAATAGCACAGCATCAATTTAGTTGTCACTTTCCTCTTTCATTGTGTGGCGCGCAAAATGTGATACAGCCGCTGCCAAATTCACCGTGAACCCGTAGATTATTCAGTGGCGAAAATTTAAAGGGGAAATAAAACACGCTTCTTGCGACAAATCCGCTTACTCGCACGTTTTTTGTGATTTACGAGTTTGCTTTGTTCGCAAAATGTGCAAACAGACCGAGCGCGACGGAAGGTGCGATCGATGCGAAGAAGATCGAGTGGAACGATGTGGGGGTATGCAATGCGCACCACAACCGTGCCGAGCAGGTTGCATACTCCGATAAACAGGTATCTTTGGGGAGAGGGACGAAACGCCGGCATCCGACAAATGGCCACAATGGATTGCTATATGGAACGGAAAATACACACACGTCGTGAGATAGATATGCCAAATTCCTCTGAATGGATATTGAATTTTATTTACTCCCTGTTCTCTCCAGAGAGTTTGAATTTCTGCCAAATCCTGTTATTCAATTTACTTGCTGAGCAAGAAAAATTGACACATCATATTTTTCTACTAAATTAAACTAAATTAGACATCATTAAATTATAATGCAAGATTAAAATTTAGTAAATTATATACAATTTTATGATACAAATCGATAAAAATTAAAAAAAATATATATTAATTTAATAATTCAACTGACAAAAAATTAAAAAAGGGAGGATAATTACCAAGCACTTAAAAATGGAATATCTAAATTTGATCGCACTTTGATTTGTATAACAAATCTCCAAATCCAGCCCCTTCCCAAAATTGAATGTCTTGATTTTTGTTAGCTAAAATGAATCGTTGCAGTTGGAAATCGCATTTATCCTGAAGCTAAGGAGGATTTTGTCAAAAGGCGAGTGGCAATAAATCTCCTGCTCACTCACTACCAGCCGTGCAGGCAATGAGAGATTTATGCAACCTGTATCGCTCTCTGCTCTGCTGACAAGAATTCTCCGTGAGTGCGCACGTGTACATAATGTATAGCAAATGGTACATGCATAGGCGTCGGTGGCCCACACGATAAATGGGGATTTATGAGCCTAGGGCACGTAAGTAAGTCAGTCGGCTGTTGAGAGCTGCCGAGTTTATTTGCACACGGGTTGCAACTGAAAAGTAAAATACGGCGCTCTTTATAATTAAAAAAAAATAATAAAATTAATCAAAAGTATGATTAAATAACTAAAAACCTAAAATTGTTGTCGACCATAGACATACAAATTCTAGTTTGGTTATTTGAAAATACAATTGATATAGTTTTGCTCTTTTCTCAAGCGTATGTATTTTTTTTTTTTTAATTTGAACCATAGAACTTATTACTATATTTACGTACGGTAATACTACTGTTCAAACTCTAATGTATATTAAAGAGTTTTGTTGTTATTTCATGCATTTTAATTTTCAAAAATTTAGTTTATGTTCTATACTCGTACTCGTAATATAATTTTTTAGCACTTTCTTTGTGTACACACCTTAAAAATTAATATTATTTTTAATTTACTCAGTTACAAGAAGTTGAAATAATTTTTAACTTTTAAACTAAAACGATGTGAATGAACTTTGTAATAAGCAACCCTCGCGCTCACTGGCTTAATGAATGGACCCGGTTTCAATTCCTCCGCCTAATCTCCATAAAAATGCAATTACTGCGGCGCGAAATTGGATCACGGGCGCACACTTCAAAGCAAGATGAGCTGTCAACTAACTAAATTTGAGCAGCCACCCCAGCAGCCGAGGGGAGAACCAACTTTGGCAGCAATTTCGCAGCTCGGCAATAGACGGTGTCGCCTCAAGATATGACTTTCTTAGGCGACGAGGTATTATTCAATATTCCTAGGAGAACCCAATTTTACGCTGATTTCCCGGGCAAAATAAAGCAGCGACACGCTTATGAATACAGCGCGTGTGTGCTTTATGGTGCGGCGGGTCTTGGTTTTGGGGACGAAAGACGGAAGAAAGTGCGTAGTCAGCAACCAGCGTCTCCATCCGACCCGAAATATCCCTCCCGCGGACAAATTATACGAGCTCAGCGTGGCATATATTGGGCCTTAAACTCCGCAGGCTTATTAGGTTGCGACGGATTGCTCGCAAATCTCTACAAGAAGGGAGGAGGAAAAACGGTGGACAGATGATAACACAATTGATAACTCGTGGGGCGAATCGCTTTATTTTCGAAGGGGAGCTCCACGGCACACTTGTTTCGGATCAAATTTATAACTTTTTATATCGGAGAAGAAAAATCCTCAAGTTGCTCATCTAATCACTAGCATTGTATTAAGACATCATGTGATCAAAACTCTTTAGAACTGAGAACAAAATTACTCAAAAGAAGAATATTACCAGGAACAAAAAGGTGTGTCTGTATATTTTTGTAGATAGTTTAATTATGTAATTAATTTAAAGCTTTCTAAAAAATCAAATCGATAAAACAACAAATAATTTGTTTCTCCATATCGCATTACAAAATAAACAATTGATGTTGAAGGAATTGAAAGACTGATAATTATTTTTAAACTAAAATTGTGAAAATAAAATATATTCCAAACGCTGACCGTTGATATGAGCGTTTAAATTCTTAGTATAATTTTTTTTTATTAAAGTAAAAAAATTTCTTTTTGTGTGTGTAATTCTTAAAATCTTCTAATTTAGATAAAAAGATGTGATGCATAAAATCAAATTTAGTACAAACAAACTTTTATAAAACCAATGGATCATTTTGCTCATGATGTGCAGTCATTTCACATGACACGACGGAAGCGTCTCTTTGATAGCGGACCATCAATAACCACAGCGGTAGGGAACAACCGGCGCACCCTTTCCTTCTCTTTCTCGCGATATTTTATCCATCCGAGCGCTTATCTTGGGCACGGAAGGGAAGGAAGAACGGGCGCAATCAAATCGCTCTCTCGCTTGTGGCGAGCAGCAGGAGAGAAAGCCAAGCAGGACGACCTCCTTTCCATTCGGGCAAAAAATGTGGAATCATTTTGCATGTGGCCGCGCGCGCGGCCAAATTTTGTTTTGATCCTATTCCTCGCAACTCCCCTACCCTGCACCGGCGAGAAATTTACGATCGCTTGAATCGGCGGTTGCAGCAGAGGAAGTCGTTGAAGCTGCCAACGTGCAAAGCAAAAAGCATCGGGCTGCAGATTTTAAGCTGCGTTGGCTACATACCTTAAGGGAGGAGCACTGCATTGTGTGTGTGTGCATTAGGAAGGTAATGGCGCGGAAGTTATGCAGATTATGCATGCAGAAGAATGTAGACGCGCGTGCTCATTTGATATTAAAATTAGATATTAATAGGACGCTCTTTCTTCGCTGCTTTCAAAAAACTCCCCTCTTTTCTTGAGAGTTTTCCTGCTCCGACCTAATTTAAGTTTTTCGTCATTTTGCTAGTGTCACTTTTGTAATTAAAATTCGCAGCTCAATTAAGGCCGCATTATTAACAACGGTCGTTAAAATCCACAACCCGGAAAATTTGGAGCAGCTTAAATGCGAATATTATTAATATGAGGAGAGAGCGAAAAACAAAAAGCGGAAGAACACATGCGGCCAGATTAGCAGCGGAAAATGCAAATTTCTGCGCCGCGCCTAATCCAATTATCTCGGCACATTCTCGGAAAGTTTGGCCGAAAGGGGGACAGCCAGCGAGCTTTGGCGGCAGGGAAGGGGTAATTGCAAGAGAGGCATTAGTCAAATTTGCTGGACATGCACTGCCTGATTTTGCTTTTAACTCCACCAGGCGCCAACCGTGTTCATTAAACTTGTCCTGGCTGGTTTAGCACCAGTTATGATAGTAATTGGGTCGTTCACCTTCATTTCGGGTGCAACTTGGTCAATTTAATTTACCCACTTTAATCCAAGGATCTTAGTTATGTAATATAATCTACAGACGCAAAGCTTTTTTGTAAAGTTTTGAATTTTTCTTAAATTCTTGTCTAAATTGAAAGAAAAATTCATGCCTCTTTATTATAAAGTTTAAAAAGAGTTTTCCAATACGGCCTTCTTTTTAATTTTACTGTTTTAAACGCGCAGAAGCTGATGAAGAACAGCAAGAACCGTAATAAGTGAATTATTAATCGTCTTTACAAAATCTCTCACAAAATCTCTGCAGGGCACAGGGCAAGAAAAAGTTTTGTTTTTCTTTGGCTGCTTTTCTTCTTCACCCAGTAACTCTTTTGCACAAGAAGCCTAAATACTCGTGTTATTTCTGCGCCCTCCGTGCCTTTCCCCGAAGTGTCAAAGTGCTTCCCGAAAAAAGTTCTGGTGAGAAGCCAGGCCAAAGTCGCAGGCAGACACGCAGCGTGCGACATACGAGGCACATACGCGGTACGTGAGCCTCTCACTGACACGCTTGCGAGGAAAAACGCCTGCGCCGAGCAAGTAAGATGATTAAGGAGACAGCTTTGTTTTGGCGCGATTCATCACGAGACGTATGCATGTCTAATCCCGAGCAAGACCTTAAATACAAACGGGGCTATGCAAATTAACTTTTCAGGCCCGCCTGCTGTCACTCAACACCGGCGGTAATTTGTTTATTTGCCTCTCTCTCGCGGCGGCAGCTAACGGCGGTAATCCTTCTTTCCCTAATTCCGACTCTTTCTGCGGATTGTTTTCAACGAATTCATTCAAACGGTATGCGCGAGACATGATCCTCTCTGACGCCTATTTGTTTACCTTCACAATTTAAGGACGGGCAATTTATCAGCTTAAAAGACCGCCTAGTCCGACGATTTATCATTTTTGAGATTTTTTGCAACGCTGCTTGTAAAATTCTCTCTGGGTTCAATGGATCTAACAAGACCAGTTCAACTCTTTCCGGTTTCTCAGGTGTTCACAAATATAGCAATAATTATTTAAATTTACATTAACAAAAGACTACAAAATTAAAAGTCTTTTAGGTGTTCAGCTCCATTTTTCATAATTTTTTTCTTTCTTTGAATAATGAAAATAAACTTAAAAAGGGTGAATTAGGCTCTCAATTTTAAAATAATAATTTACAGAGGTTCACTACGGGATCTTTATAATATCGTAAAAGCTTTGCTAGTGGTGGTGACTGATGTCAACTATTTAATGTTTCTCTCCCAACAATTGTTTTTCTTTCAGATAATGAACAATAAAAATTTTATAATAAGATTAAATACTTAATTTTAATATATTAATGTTCAGCATTTTTTTTTTCTCATTGTCAAAGAAGAGATAATTATTTGCCTTTTGTTGCTCAGTGTTCTTTTGTTTATTAAAATTTAAAGTATTACAACCTACTTAAATGAGCTCAAACGCAATAATATATAATTATATTTAAAATAAAATCATAATTTTATGCTTTTAATATTCAATTCAAGATACTTACCCTGGTAGAGTCTTCCTCACGCTTTGTGTGGTCGGCGATGAATCGAACACCGTCGATGGCCTTGTGAAGCTCTGGACAAAGGTGCCAATGGGGCGGCGGCCGCATCAGGGGCTCCTCGGTCGCAGGGGTGCTCTCCGAGTCGAGCGGCGCGTGTGAAGGGGTGCCGTGGATCCGGCACAGCGGCTCCACCTGCGACGCCGAGCTTGACAGGTCCCTGAGAAAGGGCCACGTGACAACGCTGACAAAGCGTGGCACGCATCATTTTATTTCAACTCGGCACTTTTTCGAATTTACATCCACGAGAAACACAACATCCAAAATTGCTGACGATGAACAGAGGAAGCCAGAACAGGGAGATTTAATCATTTTATTTAGATTTATTTAATATGTATTAGATTTTTTTCTTTTATATCATTTTCAGTTAATTTTCTAGTTTATTTTTTTCATTACATACGATTAATCACAAAATAAAGCGAAAATGCTTTTAAGAAAATCGCTATTTATGGCATTTAATCGTGGGAGCGCGTAAAAAGCTTCTACTGAAACTACAATTTAAGTTTCAGGTTATATTGATAAATCAGCTAATGGAAACGGTTTTGTCAAAACCAAAAACAGAAATCTTTTAGTTGAAATTTGATTATTGCAAAGTTGGTGCCTGTTTTTCCAGGAAATAACATGGGGTGCTAATCAAATTGGTTCTCGCCACCAAGTAAAGCAATTCGTACCACAAACAAGCCAATTAGGAGGGCTGCGTGCCCTTTATGACGGCAAAAAAGTGAATTAGGCCGAGTGATACGTCGTGTTTTTTGTTTCCTTGGGGGATGCATCGGAAACAGCAGGCCCCTTTTGTGATGATGCGTTCTTCGCACCCCATGAAAAGACTCCGAATAATATTTTATTTTTACTGCCGCAAGAGCGCGAGCGCTCTTTTTCTTGCCAGGACGGGCCCGTGGGCAATAAAACTTCCTTGCCAGACGTAAACCTAATTCTGCTAAAACCGTTTTATTCACTTCGCGGGACGGGAGCAAAGAGCAAAATTGCATTTTCTTGTTTCAAAGCCCGTTTAAATCCCTCTTGCAAGTATTTTTTTTTTTTTCATAAATAAATATTTTTACAACTTAATTTCTGGGTTTTTTGAGGGGAATTAATGGTTAAAGTTGAGGATGGGAAAAGTTTCTGGTTTCCTCCGGATGGTCTTCATCAATTTCTGCATGCCCCTCGCAACTGAGGGCTACGTTCAAAACCAACCAACAACACCGAGTGCGCTCCATTGAAATAAAACACCAATGCATGCCATGCTACCGTAATAATAACTGTCTCGCAAAACGCTACCATGTGCACACACACACACACACACACACACACACACATACACACTTGCAGCACAAGCGACGAAAGAGAGACACACACGGGGGGCATCTTTTTATGCGATCTGCCTTTCTGGCGCGCGCGAGAATAATGAAAGGAGGCGAATGAGAAAGGGAGTAAAAAGACCCTGCCGGGCAAAAGTTGGCAAGAAGCAGCGCAAAGACGTGCCTCGAATTCCATCTGCGATCTCTCTGGGTCAAACTAATCTTGACAGCGAGTGGAAAAGCAAAGAAAAAAAAAGTGTGAGAAATGTTTCGCAAGTGAAACGAATGTTAAAATTTAATAGTTCCAGCTTTCTTAAGTTTTGAAATATATATCTTAAATTTAAATGTTAAAAAAATTGAAGATGTTAATTTGATTCATTTCAACGTTTGAGAATTGAAACTTTTAGGTAATCGAAAGTTAAGATTTTAAAAGGTCTCCAACATTTTCAAGAAATTAATTAGGACAAAAATTTGACGGACGGGAAATCTTATTGCTGAAGTAAAAATTCATCAAACGCAAATATTTTTAGAAGCTGACAATTTCTTAAATTTTTCTCACACTATACATTATCTAAAAGATTTTAATTTACAAGAAAAACAATCATTGAAGATTTTTCTGACCATTTGAAAAAACAAATAACTAAAAATTAAATTAATTTCATCTCATTTGTTTATATAGAAAGAGCTTGTTTCTTAAATTGGATTATAGAGTACAAAATTTGTTTCCGCTTAAATTGACTGAAACCATAGCAAATGAAAAAGCATCGCTTCAATGGCAAGAAACATGAAAGCTTGGCTGAAACGTTTGATCTTTTGGCAGAAGCCTTCGCAATGAAATTCCATAACAGTTTTTCACCCGGGCTAGGAAATTTGCTGCTTTTTCTTTGAAAGCACGTCACTCGCAGTAATTTCCCATCCAAGCGCAATTTTTCGCGAGTCAGCCGCACACGATGCGGGTCTCTCTCTGCTTTTTTCTCCATTCACACACACGCACACACTCTTCCGTTCTTGTCGGCCCGCTCTCGTGAAATATTAAAAGCAAAGAAGCGGCGGGAGGAAATTGAGCTCTTAAGTGATAAAGATCTTTATTGCGGCGGCCGCCGCCGTCGCCGCCTCGCTGGGTATCAAGAAGACATTACCCCTTCGGAGGAGAACCACTGGTGGCTGATGGCCCGCACGAGGGGCCTGGATGATTAATTAATCACTAATTTGCGGCAATTTTTCATCCGCAGACAAGATCGGACGTGTTCTCCCGCGACCGACAAAAAAGATTGCCAGCAATCACACTGCACCCTGATTCGGAGAAACGCATGTAGGCAACCCGCACGACCGGGGGCAGTGAAAAATCGCGTCTCTCTTCCGCGGTCTGATAAATTGTTTTTATCCTTCGGCATGAAACGGTCCGTTTTTTCCTCTTACCAGGTTTTTACATCGAATCGTGTCCACGCGAGAGGGGAAAAGTTGAGAAAAAAATCCATATGGGTTTGTGTAAAAATAATGTAAAATGAATTTTAATCGCCCTCTGTGGTCGGTGGAGGAGAAAACAGCTCGTAAAAACGGGGCGAGGGTAATGATGCACGGCTCGCCAACAACTCTCTCGCGGGTGTAAAAACAGATCGGCTGGAAATTAGGTGGCTCACGCGCTCAATATAATAACGCTCGTTTCAAAAGCAGGGCGGCGGCTGCGGTAATTGAAATTCGGTGTTCATTACGACGCGGCTCTTTTGCACCTCCACCGGCGCATGTTGACTTTGTGCGCGGTGTTTACCAGAGAAAAAGGGCCGCTTTGACTTATTTACGAGTTTTTCGGCACCTTAGTGGGAGAAAAAGGAGGCATTTAATATTAAATAAAACCCAATTTTCCGTCTGCCAGCGCTGGAATTTGTGCTCTAGCGAGCGAGAAAGAATGTTCTTTTCATCGCTGCTTGCTGGATAAAGAGATGCCTTGGGAGAAGCACATTTATCTTCAGAGATTGCCCTACCTGCCTTTGCATTAAGGCAGTAAAGAGACGAGGCAGCAGACAACAAGGAAATTGTCTATTTTGGTGAACATTTGCGGTAAAAATTGTAATAACTTCTTGAGAAAAAAATATAACTGAAACTAACCAACAATTTTAACGGGTGAATAATTTTTACCGCCTTTTTTTATTGTTAAATATTTAATAAATTTAGTCATAAATTATATTATAGATAAAATAACAGTGAAAATATTATTTTATTTATCAATTAACAATTTGATAATCTCTGAACCAGTGAAAATTGCATGCCCAGATTTCCTGCAAATGTCTTTAACTCGATATAATATTAATATAAAAATCTTCTGGTAAAATTTGAGCGTTTAATTTTCGCGTGTAACTTTATTAATATAAACCATCCTTCATGAGAGATAATCGCCGCATATTATCTGACGTGTTTTGTGAAGCAAAGAGGCGTTTCGGTCGGTTTGTTTTAAGCAAATTGCAAACGTCAAGCTCAATTTCCCACTGCCCCCCGAGCAGGCCAGGCCAGCCAACATACACCACTCAGGCAGGCAGAAAGGGTTGCGACCCTTTGGTCAATTGTGGCCAACAGGGAGAACCCTTTCCTGCTTTGCTTTCCTCTTTCATTCTCGGCAACGCTCACACATTCGAGTCGCGTCCCAATCTTTCCATCTAGCGCGCGAGTGAGACAACAAAGGGTTGCTTATTATTTGTACCTGTTGTAGTCGTGGGGCGGGGGTGGGTACAGGGGCATTTCGGCGGGCACGCCCAACTCGTGCAGGGCCGCGGCACTGCTGCCCGCGTACACGGACGGGTCGCGCAGCTCGAGGCCGTTGCACGTACGCACCATCACGCGGTGATGTGAAAACCTGGAACATTTTTTGTGCGCAGCAATTTAATTTCTACGTGTCTGAACTGAGATAAAAAAAATGAAATTACTACAAAAATAAATATTACAAAATGTTTGAAATAATATTTTAAACCTTAATTTATGTTTAAACATTTGAAAAATTATATTACTTTTATACAAAATTCAATATTTTAACAAATAGTATATTTTTTATATTAAAATTAAATGAGATCAAAACTAAGTTTTTTTGAAGCAGAAAAACAGCCAATTATAATTTCATATACGATTGGATGAAAATACAGAAATAATTTATGGTAGCTTAAAAATAATGAAATTTAAATTAAAAATTTCATTAAACAAATATCACTTTGGTTTTGAAAAATATTTTTGGATTTCCAATTTTGCAAGAGTAAATATTGTTTTTTTTTTAAATGTTTAATTTTTGAAGTCAAGTCATCTCTTCCCAGCTTCGTCTTTGTGATTAATGCTCAATTATTCATCTGTCTGAGATGGGGTGGTCTATTAAAAAAATATTATCACATCCTTATGTGTGCCACCCTTCTTGACGAAGGCCAAACCCGTGGGGAGAGCAATAAAAAGAGCTCATGTGTGCGCGCCAGCCAAAGTGTATGGATGCACGAAAGGGCGAAGTGGACGCTTCTTTGGGATCACTTTTCAAGAGCAGAGACTTCTTCATTTGGAGGCCTTGCTTGCCACTGACAATGGGGCGCTTTTTGTCGTAAAGGGGGTGAGTGGTTCGCTGTTGGGCGTGTAGAAAACGCACCCTCTTTTGTCAATGGTGTACTGCGGCCGACGCATCACCAGCAGCCGCGGCAAAATGTGGATGAAGACCCGTTTGACCCAGGGGGCCATTGTGTGCGTCTGCGGCGACCGGAAGTGCACATTGAGCACTACCACTGTCACGCATATACTGAAAAACAAAACACTGATTAATAAAATCATCAATCAAGTTCATCGGCATATAATTATTGAACTAATTAAAAAAATTATCGTAGAGACGCATAATTTAATCAAAATTTAAATTGCATTAAATCTCAAAATTGCTATTTAAATTATTTGTACCTGAACGTGTCAAGGATCATTGTGAAAAGCACAAATTTGCCGAGCAGCGGGACGACCAAACTGGTCGGGGGGATGATCTCGGCAAGCAGCAAGAAGAACACAGTCAGGGACAGCAAAATGGAAATGGACAGGCTGACCTGGAAACCAAACAAACGCCATCGTTTTAATTCGCATCTCTTGTATAATAAATTTAATTTTCCACTAATAAATTATTTCCACCCTCAATTGGGGATGTAATTGAATCCGGCAGAGAAAGTATCACATTTCCATTTCTCTTCCGAGGATTCGAGGGCGCAACTGCAGCTTTGGCGCATATGTGTGTCAGAAGCAGCAGTGCTGCGCTAGGCAGGAAAGCAAGGGGATGCGCTTCTTCCTTTTCCACTGCACCCCTTTTGCCTCATCGAAGTTCCGACTGCGACACGCCACGATAAATGTGAGGTGGAAAATGACGATAACGTTTTGCAGCCAAACGAACTCCATTAAAGTTCTATTTTATATTACTTCAACTTTTCATCTCATGTTTATTGAGATAATCTTGGATTGATTACTTTTTTGTATGTTTTAATTTGTCCATAATTTGTATAAAAAATGTATTAATTATATTGTAATATAAACATTAAAGGCGGAGTGCAACCATCTCTTCCCAAAATATATAATACAGTTAAAGTTCTTCTATCCAAACTTCAAACTATAGCATTTTTTTTTATTGAAATTTGTAAATTATTTTTTATTTTTAATATTTAAATCTATTAAGAAATATAAATACGAACATTATTACAACAAAATAATATTGAATAAAAAAGATTAATGCTTTTTTTATGTGAATAAAATTTTATCTCAGCAAATTAATTGTGCACTCTTTATCATTGCAGTCATATTATAAAGGAAAGTCATGGAATAATTCACAACTTCCGTAATTCCACCATGATAAATTCTAGGGGTTGTAAATTTGCATTACAAGCGAAACAAATTTTCCGTGCAATGGCCCTCATCACTTTCGCTTCTGCTCTTCATGCAAATGGCACCACCTCAGCGCACATCTTTCCAGCGAGCACTCCTGGAGTGTGAAAAATCTCTCTTGTCATAATAAAGGTGCAAATACGAATATAATTTGAATAAAAAATGCAGAGAGTGTTGCACTCGCCTTTGAAGAGCGTCGCTCTCGACGAAAAATATGCAATAAGCGCCGAATCACATGCATGGCGGGTCGTGCCACTCATTAATGATGCCGCTTTTTGATCTTATTGCCGCGTAACTCCGACCTCTTTCACTAATGGCAATTCATTCATTAATGAAAGGCAGGCAGGCAGGCAGGTGTTTTATGGCGGCGCCCATCCATTAGCGGTCGCCTAATGAGAATTTTCCCCCGACCGCTCAATTTTATGAATTTTGACAAGCCGCAAAAATCACCCACTCGGGAAAAATAACGATTTGCAGTGCGTGCTTGGAAGAGGTGAATTTTCTTGAAAAAAGAATGAGATGGAGCAGCGGAGAATGTGACGTTTTGATTAGTTTAGAAGCGGCCGGATGCCCACCTGTCTGGGCGCAAACGGTCTATCTATACGTCAGGGAGGGTTAAGAGCCGTTTAGATATACCTTCTCGCCGCTATCGGAGGGTAGATAGAAGACGAGCACCGTCAGGAAGGAAATTCCCATGCAGGGGATGATGAGGTTCACCGTGTAGAACAGCGTTTTGCGGCGCATCGTGATGTTGAACGTGATATCCAGGTACGGCTCGTCGCAGCACGTGTAGAACTTCTCGTTCCTGCGCATCATGCAAAATTTTAAAACTACGGTCTAAAGCTCCAATTGCGATATGCAAACACAACAAAGGAATTTCTTTTTACCTTACTGCAGGTACTTCCAAAATGTCCCATTCAACCGAAGTGTAGAACTCGGAAAGATCTACTCCAATTTCCACCACGTTTGAACCTTTCACCTCATCTATGTGCCTCAGATCCACCTAAAATTACGTAATTATTAATTTTGCTTATCATTAAATTATCAAAAATTCACAAATTATGAAAAATATGTCAAGTTTAATTAAGGAATTGGGGTGAAAATGGAAGCAAAATCCATTTATAGAGGAAAATTTTAAGTTTGATTGTCCATTTTAAAAATTTAGGATTTATTGCAGCCGTACTAAAAATCAATCTAGACTTTAGAACTACAAAATAATAAGAATATGAATATTTTCAAATTATTTCTATCCCATTTTTATAATTTTTTTTTTTTTATATATTTAATGAAATATATTTATCACGAGCATTTTATTCAGTGGCAGTTTTCACTGACAAGAATGACGCAAGAGAGGATCGCTCCGGGGAAGGTTGGTAAGAATTTTGCACACCTGGAAGCCATCGTACGTCCAACTGCCAAACTTCATGACACACGTCTGCTCGTCGAACGGGAAATACTCGACGTCGATCTCGCAGCTGCTCTTGTAAATGGCCGGCGGCTTCCACTCCACCCTGCCTGTGTAGTTGAGAGTGGCTTTTGTGGCCAGGGTCACTTCGAAGTTGCCGTCGGCACTGCGAAATTGAACGAACCGCTTGAGCTTGCAGCAATCAATGAAATTTCAAGTGGATTATATTGAAAATCACAACGATATTTAGAAGGAAAAAAATGAGCAAAAGTTGTATTTTTGTGCTAGGAAACTTGATTTGTTACAATTAATGTATATGAATAGAAAGATAAAAGATTTTACTATTTTATTAAGAACTTATGCTTTATGAATGGCAAAAATATTACCCTATACGATTTTTATGTCAAATTATTAATTAACTTTTGTACCTTTCTGAAAATATGTATTTCAAAAGGTCAGAAATAAATATTAAATGCGAAAAAGCACCAAAAAAATTTATTAATAATTATATTTCCCAAGAATTTCCAATTTTTTTTTATTTCGTTGTATTCTTTTTTTTAATCAAGAGGAATTGACTTTGATTTTATTCCTTAGATAATATATTTAAATCATTTGAAATTTACATATTGCGTGTAAATCGACATGTGGGGTCAATCAACCCAATTTACGACACGCACTGAAATCGAGATAAAAGATCATCAGTCCGCAAGTTCCTTATTACATTTGCCCATGTCCGACTGGAACAACAACAATGGCTTCCTTCCCCAGGAGTAATTCCGCCTCAGATAGGTCCAGATAAAAGCGGCCGTGCTTTAATATAGGCCCCTCTGCAAGAAAAGACAACTTGCGAGGGAGAGAAAAGAGATGCAGCCAACTCTTTTTCGCCACTTTCTAAATTAGGCTCGGCGCATTTGTGTCTAAATTTGCTGCACTGCACTTCCCCCCGGTATATATCTCGCCAGCTCTGGACCCCTTTCTTGCCTACTTTCTTTATTCCGGCCCATTCAAGAGGACGCTCGATATATTCTCCTCCCCAACGTCCCTCCGTGGTGCCTCTGCCGCTTTTTTGCTCGTAAATGTTTCTCTCGCTTTTATTAGTTTTGCTTATGGCGCGGAAAAACATATTTCAGCGACACTCTTATGCGGCAGCTCTTGATTTTTATGGACTGCTCGAGGGAGAAAGAGAAATGACTTTACGTTCTTAGGTGCACGTGATGTAAATTAGATTGCTTGTCATTTAAGAACAAGCAACAAAATTTATCTTGTGAAAATGAAATTGACCCTTTTTTCATAAAAACTAATCTTTTCAGAATTTCTGTCTTGAGGACACGTTGTAGGGCATTAAGCACTTTAACGACCTCCCTTTTCAATGTCAGGCCGTGCACCTAGGCCGATAAAGAAGTACACCTTGTACGTGAAAAAATGAACTAATTTCCAGCAGCCGGTGCGGCGAAGTGTGCGGAAAGGAGCCGCCGTGCACGCGCGCGTCTCATCTCGGCCCATTAATCTGGCGTTATCTGAGGCGAAGGAAGCGTGTCTCGTAAATCAGGTGACGCTTTTTTACTTGTTGTAGAGCACGATGTCGGGGCGCCAAATGTGGTCCGAGGGCACATGCAGCATCTCAACGCCGCCGTACTCGCGGGGGTCCCACTGAAGCTTGTAGTCCAACCAGCTCTGCGAATAAAAAAACAGACGCGCCACGCGCTTGCCAAAAATGCACTTTCCAATTTACTTTCTTTCAGATTGAATCCAGATAAGTTGGCTCGGATGCAAAGATACAAGATGGCAACACCAAATTCGCCAAAGAGAGAAAATTTTAATAAGGAAAGGTCAAGGCACCAACTTATTAAATATGTATTTATTAATACTTATTATCTAATCATTAAAATATGTATTATTTTTTGAAAAATTTCGTTAGAATAAAAAATCTGATTTTTATCTTATCATTATTTGTTGTTGTCGTTATACAATGTACGTTGTTTTGTTTTTGCAGAGTGGTAAAAACAAAAATTATGATTTTTAAGTGAATTAAAAGTTAGGCTTAAATTAAATGATTATTATTCCATTTTCAAACTTTGAAAGTGCTTAAAATAAGTTTGAAATTAAAAACAAAAATTACTTGAACAATTTTAAAATAATAAGGAATTTCATGATTGATGGTTGAACATAATTTTGGGCTTTTCTTTTGTAGGTCTAGGTGACTTTTGAGTGTGGAAAAACACAATATTTTTTGTTAATTTATTCTAATTATTTGCAACGAAACTGCTAAAAAAAACCCATGTGAGAAAACCAAATTTAAATTCAAACAAGATCGAAAATTCTGTTTTATGTTTAAATGTATTTGATTTCCTTGTCATTATATTGTTTGACGTTTAAACATCTGCATTTTGTTAACCACCCCTGGGGGCCCAAATGATAACGCGCAGCCCGAAATTCCCTGTCGCTTTTCTTGCATGCTCGTTGCCGCTTCAGGGAATTTCGCGCCGCAGATAAGCCGAAAAGCCATTGCTCCCTCGTCAACAACCCGGGCGAGAGACCGACAGACTTCCTGCCGATAAGGGTGGATTTTGGGCCGCGAGTGATACATACCTGCTCCACCCACAGGTTGGTGGTCATAATTTGGTTCTTCAGATTCTGAAACAAGAAGAGCAGAAGCAACTTTGATGATGCGTGTGAGCACAAATGCGTACAAATATATGTTCATATATGGCTGCGGTGCGGGATTAGCCTCGAGCGAGAAAGCAGACCCACCCCCACAATCTCGGGTTGATCCTGGAAAGCGATCTCCCGCGTGTCGGAATGGAGGAATATAATCCCATGCTGATGTGATGTGCAACAACACAGGCCAAACAAGCGGATTGCGTTGTTTAGATTTGGGGGAAACTAGTCAATTTTGATCAGGAGGTTGCTCGTGAAACATGAATACCTTATTATGTTTGATTTCAAACGATAAATGACGTCCGTGGCAAACGGGAAAATCTTTGCTAATTGTGAAAGTAAAATTTAAATTAATATATTTTATTATACACCCTCAATTTTGCATCTAAATACTATTTCATGATTATTGTGTGATGCTTGATTGTTTACACGACCTTTTCTCCACCTTTGATTAATTGACAAAAAATTTGCGACGAAAAACAGAACCGTCAACAAGCAAAATCAAATCTACATATTGTTTTTGAAGATTTTCAAAAAATTTGATAAATCTATCTCAATCTCATCATATTGTAATATTGAAATTTAAATATGTATTTATCTGCTTTCTTTAGTCTTAAAATAATCGTTTAAAAATATATATAATCATTCTTTTGAAAACATTTGACTAAATTCAGCAAAATTGGAAAAAGTCATTAAATTTTTTTGAATGAAAATAGCCAAATTTCCAAATGTTTTCCATGTCATTATAAACATAATTTATCTTTTTTTTTAATTTGAAACTCCCATTATGTTATTAATTTGTCGTTGAAAAAAACGAGGATCGCCCTATTAAAAAAAATGTATTACTTCTTCTGGGAGTTTTATAGAGAAAATTGCACATTTAAATTGTTTCTAGAGCAACAAATTAAATTCTAAAAGTTGTGCTAAGCAAAAAATATTGACCAAAAACAGTTTTCCTTGATGAAGCAAAGCGGCTCAATTCATATCACTGTTCCATCTACTGCTCAGTTGCATGAATGAATCTCTTTGAACCGATTCCAAGAAACTTATCCCAGAGAAATGCAGAGATTTTGTTTCATTTCATGTACAGATATTTATTTAAAGCACAGCTCCATCGCATCAGCATAAATAAACACCATGCTGCTGAACTAAAAAACCCGCCCTCGCTGGAAAACTCTCTCTGTACAAACGACTTTTTCAGCGGCAGCTGCCAGAGCGCTTATTTATTTACCTTCCACTTGATGAAATTTGCACGAATCAATAACCCCGGTCCGTGCCTGTGCTGTGGAAAAATCCGCGCGTGTGGATTCAACAGAGTGATGAAGATGAAAGATGATTGAACGCGGAGAGCGGAAGAAAAAGAGCAGAGAGAATGGGAAAGTGGTGAGAACGAGAGCAACTCTCGCAACAGCAAACGCTACCTGCTCGGAACGCTGTCAGAAACACGAAAATAGCAACTTGAGCGAAGGGATCACAAGCGGATTTTAGTTGCCGAACTGATCGAAAAAGAGCCTTGGTGAGTGCGTTCAGCTCAATTATTTCTTGATCCGAACTAGAGCCTAGACGTTGAAAAATTCATTACTTTTTCCACGGAAACATCTTTTTTTCTATTTTTATTAAAGCTTCCCATCCCCATAGGATTATTTTCTGCTGAATTATGTATTAAAATTTAAATTTAAATGAAAAAATGACAAAGGCGATAAATTTAATATTTTATATGAAAAAAATTAGTCTTTATTTTTTTAGACTTTAGCAAATGATAAGACTACTAGACTAACCAGAGTTATCTAAATTCCCTATTCCCGATATGTATATTCGAAGGAAGAATCAATGGCTGATTTTTCAGAACAAATGAGGCACAAAAGGCAGATTAATTCAAATTCAAAAGAAAATTGACAATTTACAAAATTTAAAAAACCATGCACATGAAAATAATATTAATGAGGTTGTTGATAAAAACAAGTATTCAGTTTAAGTTTTCCTCTGTGAGCTTACTTATTTTTATTCCTTTAATTTTTCAATGCCCTGTAGGGCACTAGGGTGTAATATTTCATACATGAAACACTGACCGACTAAAAAACCCATCAAAACGTTTGAGTTTAAATTCACTGCAACATCAATTGTGGAGAGCTTTTCAGCCAATAAAAATATTTTTAACTTCAATGTTATTATTTTTTCAATGAATTTAAAATTATCTTATGATCTTAGAGTAATTCAACAAAGCTGATTAAAAATTCAATAATTAAAATTGCATAATTAGGAATCTTTTCACTATTGGAAAATTGATCATTTGTAAAGAGTAAATTATGATTTCATAATCTATCTTTGTTACAAGATATTATCAAAAGGATGAAATTTGTACGTGGCAGCCAGCAAAAGGCCACTTGCAATATTAGCATTTCAGCTATAAAAAAAGCTAATCGAATTTGCGGCGGCTAAAAACCGTCTGGAAATTTTCATTTTAAATCGTGTCCGCACCCTCCACTATAATAATAAATAACTGCGTCCGCAGCACGTGCAAAAACGCTCGTTGGCCGATTTAAAGCAAAATTACGCGCATTTTACTGACGCGGAAAATTGCCGCGCGAACAAAAACCGTAGCGGAAAACACTGCCAAAATTTTCCTCTTCGGCGGCTTCTGCAAGCCAAAAAAGCAGCGAGCGGATAAAATTTCGCAAACTCCTTTTCGTAAATAACGAGAAAGAGCGAGTTAGAAAGAGCGAGCAGGACCGACGTTCGCAAATAGAGTCCCGGGGAGGTTGAAAAAATGGAGCACACTACAAAATCACATTAACCTCCGAGCAGCCCGCGGCTACCCAGTCTCGACAAGCAGCCCGAGCACCTCTGCTCTGTACTTATTCAGCTCCGTGTATCATGTGCTGTATGTGTTCTTGGCCGGCCAGGCAACGCTCAAGATGCTTTTGTGGCAGCATTTGTCATTCAGCTTTGTTTATTCTGACAGAGGTTGCGCTCCTACTACTGCATTAAAGCTCTGGTTCGAGGGAAAAACGCCGCCGCCGTCGAGACTGTGCCGAGTGAGGATCACGAGTGCTTAGAGAAAATTACGCTCGGATTGTCGTGGTTTGTTTACTTTTTGGCGTGAAGCGTCCTTACTGTCATTTTCGTATTGCAGGATGGGATACAAGGGAAAATAATAACACAGACATTGGAAAATGTAAATAAGTAGAGAGATTTTCAAGAAATTAATTTAATTTTTTTTAAATCTATTAAAAGCTTAAACCATTGGAAATTGTTGACGCGATACCTATGAAATCAAATTTTTTAATGAGAAAAAAATAATATCGCTACATTTATTTAAAACTAATTTTGTAAAAATTTAATTCAACACAAATTTCAAAATTGTATAAAAGCTTTTTATCTCATTTTACTTTCCTGCAATATAACGTGTGGTGCAAGAATTGGCATGCATTAGAGATCACACGGTGCCATGTGAAATCCTAGCTCGCTGTGATAACTTATTCCTTTTTCTTTCAACATTCGCTGCTGTTGCTGCTGAGCAGGCGGCGGCCCCTTTGATATCGATGCGGATCTGCGAATCTAATGCATCATTTACGAGCGAGCAGTGCCTTTAACCGAGTTTCCTTCCATTTTCATCGCGAAATGTCGAGGAGCAAAAGAAGAAACTCTTGCAACGCGAGTTCCTTCTTCTTTACTCAGCGCACAGCGTTATGCTGCGCCGCACGACAGCCGCGTCGAAACAGTTGCATAATCTGCTCGCTTCCTCCTTTATCTCTCTGTTCTGTTTTATACAGCAGGGGAAACACACACACACTACGCGTTTCCTCTTTTTATGATCAGCGAACTTCGGAAAAATCCCACGTCATAGTTTTTCGTACAAAATGGGAGCAGTTGAATAATTTTTCAAGGTTGATGTGACATCAGCTATCATTTCCATCGCCTACAGTGCAGTTATTTTTCAAAAAAGCAAAAATATCGTCATGATATGAAGATACTGTCCATAATACATAGCATTGAAAATTCCAAAAATAAATCAAATGGTCATTTTTTTCTTTTAGTTTGGAACATTTTTTTTTCAAGTTCTTCTCCTTGCTATATTTTTAAAGAATTATATTTTAAATTAGTTCATATACAATTTTAACGGAATTTTCTATTAAAAAAATTGTATGCTGTGTATGTATTAAGAAGATTAAATTTTTTACACTTGCTCCTTGTGAAAGAACCCTTTCACGAAAGTGAATTTTATTAACTTGAAAAAATTTGCTTGCAATTGATAAGAAATAAATGTTTTCTCATATTTCATTAATTTATCCATTGTTAAAATTAGATTGATTACATTCAATTGTTAAAAATAATTTATTTAAAAAAGGGAAAAAAGGCACCATCAACGATAAGAAAAATAATGACTGTTTTTATAATATATTTCTAGTTGCAGATAGTGCGGAAAATATATTATTCTCGAAGTGAAGTTGGAAATTAAAATAAAATGAAATTGCGCCGTAAAATAGAGAAAGTTTCGCGTGCCAAATTTCTTCAAACGTAAGCAAACAAAAAACAAACTCTGTGCGGATAGTTTCCCGTCGACTGCTAATTTTTCTGCTTGGCTCAGCAGCAGCGACGTAAAAGTAAACATCCCCAAAGCCCATTGATCGCAACAACCAATCTTCCGCAAACATCCACCCTTTTACCCACGTCCAAATTACGACAGGATAGAGAGAAAAATATTCCCTTTGGTCCGCTGGAACCGCAGAAAAAAAACGAGAGCGATTGAATTTAACCGCGGATCTAAACCTGCACTTCAGGGAACTGCGTCTGATACGCTCGGTGCGCGATCATCCCTTCTCCCCAAACACCCTCGCCGCCCCCATCGGGAGATTCGCGTGTTTACCTGCCGAAATATTTATGTCAACGCACAGCCGTTGTCGACGTCGTCGTAAAAGCGACTGGTTTGAATTATGCAGCGCGGTCGAATTGCCGGCCACACTTTGTTGGCCTCTCGAAGCCCCGTCCTTTATATTACATGGCTCCTTTCCTTTTCTCGTAAAATTTTACGGCCTGCAGGAGCTAATTGTCGAGTCGACGTCAAGAGAACACGTGCCTCAATTATTCAAAACTTCTTGCTTTTATGTACAATTCTAGCGCAAACTCACCACATCAATGAGCTGCGACAGTTTGAGCTTGATGCGCACCGTGAGTGCGTCCGTCACGTTCACCACCGGCCGCACCAGCTTGTTGTAATTGGACAGCAGGTCGTCGTACAGCCGCTTCGCGTCCGGGTTGCCCAGGCACACTGCGAACACAGAAATTTTTTTCAATATCAGAAATTTTCACATCAAAAGAAATTGTCTCGCTTTCGTTTGGCGCAGGTGATTAAATTTTATCAGAGGGGAATTCTTATATATACGAGACTATTATTTTTAACGGCGCTCGCCACTTTACAGCCCATTTGCGAGAGATGCTGCTGCTGATGTTTGTCTCTTTATGATGATGGCTCGTTTAATAACTACGGCGGAATGGTCCGAATTACCGTGAAAAGTTTTTGTTCTTGTACCGCAGAGAGACCTAAACTCACTTTAGTGATCAACTTAATAGTGTCGTTTTATTCAGAAATATAAATTTAAAAGTCATTTCATTATATTGTTAGAATGGACTAAACTGATAGATGGGCCTTGATAGTTCTTAAAAATATCTCGTGTTTAAAAATTAAATATAATTTGATTGCAACCGACCATAATTAAGAGGCGTGAGAAAACTCCATAAATCTGATTTGATTGATCTTTGTATTTGAAATTTTTAACATCTTACAATTAGTACTTTGACTTTTACTTTTTTTAGGCTAAAAGAAAAGTGATTAACACTTTTGAAGAGATTATTATTATTTTTTAATTTCTTCTTTTTTTATGAGATGAGAAAAAATCAAATTTTATTAATTCAAGGAAAACCTTCCTTAAATTTAAATCAAGTTACTTATTTTGAAAAATTGATGATTCAACTAACAAAAATTTAATTTCAATAAGTAGCTTTAATTTCCACTGAGAATTGAAAAGTTTTAACAATAAAATTTAGCGTTTTATGTATAGAACTACAGTAAAATATATATATATATATATAAATGTAATTAAAACATATAGCATCATCCTATTCCTTCTATGTGAAAATAAACAGTCTGTATTTTAGATCACTCCTCTCGCCTTTAGTTCCAATATTGCAGAGAATTACTAAGGAATTTAATTTTGGATTCCTGTATGAAATCTACTTTGTGTAAACCACGGAGCCTCTTTTTATTGGACGAAATTCCCGTCTCGCCTGCTTCCTTTGACAATAAATCTTAATCAAAATTCCAGACAGCACAGCAGCAGCTCCCGTGCTCTTTTTGCGCCCTCAGAGTGAGCACAGCCAGAACAATCAGCCCCTTCAGCTTGCCGGCTGCACGACGATCAAACCGTTTTCGGGGGGAGCATGTTTCACGGCAGATCAAACAAGAGGCCCTTTATCGCCGGTCCAATTATTACACCTGCCTCCACCGCTTGCTCTCACCCCTGCAGTCATTCAGCCCGATTGGGCGCTAGCAAGTTCCAATTGGACGGGGAAGCACTTGTGTCAAAGCTTTGAGCCGAAGGCTGATAATTATGTGGTCAAAGTTTGGGGACGGTGGGCTTTGGGACTGGATTCGCCAAACAAGTCAAGAAGTCTGGAGGTGCAAACCAGCAAGTTTTGGTCGCCGCACAGAGATCTCCCTTAAGACTGTCAAATAATCTTGTCAAAAGTTTTGCCCGATTCACGAATGCGCTTAATTTGCCGCTGAGATTTTTCGGCCAAAAACTTTTTGAGTCGGAAGGTGCTGCGCTGGTGCCAAATGAACTCGTGTTTTCGCCTCTTGGCCACCGCTCTAACGAGAGGGCCAGACAGGGCAAGTTAATTACTTTCCGTTCGCCTGCTGCTACCCCTTTTCTATTGCTTGTATCAAACATAAATCTCAATCGCAGGGTGCTTTTTGTTTGCCTGCTGCTGCTGCCTCGTAGCAGAAGAGTGAGGCAAAAACACTCCGATCAGGATAAACCGTACCGTGTGTTGTTTATTTGAGCTTTTAATTCTATTTGGCAGCCAGCTGTGTCCATTGTCCATTTTGTCCCTCAATTTATTTCGCAATCCTTGAGTAGCCGTTGATGAAAAGCACTTCCGTACAACCAGGGTTTGAATCTGTGGTGGGGGATCTGCAAAATGCGTCACCCAAAATCGTACATTGCCAATATTCTTTTCATCGCTTTTCATATAACTGCATACACAGAATAGTTGAATGAGCATCATATATGAATGTTTTAGGCTTACATATTGGGCTGAAATAAAATTGTTCCTATAATGAATATTTAGATATGTTTCTATTTTTTCTTGCCAAAGGAATTTTTATTGAGTTCATGAATAAAGGGAAACTTTACTGAGCTTTAGATATTTGGGAGGGATTGAAGAAAAACAAAAGTATACTGGACTCTTACAAATTCCATTTAAATGAAATATTTGCTTATATATTTTTTATTCCTTTTGTTTTTACGCAGTTTTAAGAATTCCTGGAATTTTCAATATATATATTTATTTTTATTAATTCCATTGGGCTTTGAGACGAAGAGTCCAAATAAAAAATCTCATAATACCCAATTCAACCTAAGGAGGATGAGAGCAGCTAATGAAATTCCCTCTTTGTGAATTTTGCAGCTTGTATTAAATCAGCAGAATTGGCCCTTCCACGAATTCTCCACAAGGAGTCGAATTCACAAACGACACAAAGAAGAAGAGCTCTCGCAGGTTTTCATTTCCGTGAAATATTTATCCGTAAATCCATTAAAGGAAGTTTTGCTTGGGCGAAAATCTTTTTGCCGGTGCCGTCGACGACGCTGACGAGCACAAAAGGCGGAAACCGGTGACATCGGACCGGCTGATGAATTTATTATGAGCTCGCGAGCAAACTGTGAAAGGAGGCAAAAACGTGGGCTCGGAGACAGAGCAAGAAGTGAGAGGAACGCCGCTTTTTAGTGAATCCTCTCAAACTTGTCCAAATTCTCTTTGTCCGGCGTTCAACACAAAGTTATATAGAGATTGCTCAAAACAGTTTTCACTTCTCGGCCTGACTTAATTAACTCGGGGTGACAGCGCGGCAGGAAACAAGAGCGAATTCTCGTTTCAAAGGAAATGAGTACCGCATCTTTCATCTTTTTTTACACCATTAATTCACCTGCTTGCCTGCGAGCGAGAAACAAACAGACCCTTTTTCCGCGCTTGCTCTCTCACGCGCTGTTTATTTATTTACCAAATGAAAAAAAGTAAATTAAAGGAAAGGGGCTGATGTATTTATTCGCCTCGGGGAAATTTCGAGCAGGCACACTCTTTGGCAACAATTAATTAAAAAGGACGTCGGTCGAGCCAAGGCACAAAGTATCTTGCGGTAAAAACATAAATTAATCCTGCAGCTGCCGCTTGACGGTATATCGGACTGCGGTACTTGTATATGCTGGTCCCTTTTCTTCTCTTTCTTGAGCCTATTACCGCGTTTTTGGCAAAGGGAGTGCCGGAATCAATATCGGTTTATTGGCAAGTGTGTAATGTAATGTTCTCTGTCGACTCCTTTTGTGAACAAAGTGTATGCTTTCACTTCTCAAGAGAGGATTATTTTCATGGAGGCGCATTATTGTGAGAGCAAGCAGCTTTAAATTCCCAACACGCTTCAGGCAGGGAAAATATTTCGACAAACTTCCAAGGAGGAGAAGGAAAAGCGAGGAGCTGATGAGATTTTTTGTTAGATAAACTTTGCCTTTGATTTGTTATTTTTAAACAAAGTTTTTAATAAGGTTTCAGTTTTAGATCCAAGATAAAAATTAATATTTTTTGCAAACATATCCAAACATGTTTTCAAGCAAATCACATCAGACAATTTCTGACTGATGTCATCAGAAAAGTTGAAATATTCCACGAGTAATTATTAATTTAAGAATGGCATTAATTAGAATAATTTGTACCGATTTATACAATGATAATATTTGTAAAGTTTACAAAACTCATAATTATTTTCCCTGGCTTCAAGTCTGAAAATAAACTTACCGGAGCATAGGGCGAGGAGGAGCCACAGAAGGGCCCTCATGACTGCCTCTGCTTCATCAGCACCTGAAAACAAACAAATAGAAATAACATTATTTCCTTGCGTGACCTCAAAAATATTAAAATTATTTCACCCGAACAGGTATTTCTACCTGTTGGCCGTTTTAGTTGGTCACGCGAGAGTGCCGCATGATCTAATCATCCGCACGATTAGCAATTTTTAGCGACTGACATGAAAGTGTGCCTCTGACGCATGCAGGCTTGTTATGTTCTGTCTGTGACAACAGCATAGGCCCCGGTCGGCCCACTTGCACACAGTGGAAATGACAACCTTTCGGCGCAGTTAATTACCAGCTTTTCAATTAGACAGAGACAAAGGGATAATGAAATTGGAACACGGAAAGTTACTTAAGCGTTGATGAATTTTCTCTCAAAGTTGTATACGGGAAAATAAAATTTCCAAAGCAGAAAATCGTTGAATAAGTTTACTGCTTCAAAACCCACGTCCCGCCAGATCCAATCTTAGCCTGTCTGATCGTGTCTCTCTCAGTTGGAAAAGTCAAAAGTTGGGGGAAATGCGAGTGTGTTTGAAATGGAAGGAAAATTGCAACCCCGGGGGAGAAACGGTGGCAGCGTCTGATCGATTTCCAAACGGGCGGCAGAATTGAATATTTCCAAAGCTGCACACCTCATTAGGACGGGACAAAGAAATCGAGCGTTGGCTGGCTCTGGAAATGGGCCAGTTTCTCTGCGGGCGTTTCCATCCGCGATAATGACGAGTGAGAGAGAGAGAAAGAAGAGAGAGGAGGATAAGAACAAAGCACTGGGCCCTTTGGCTGCTCGCGAGATTAAATGATTCGATCATTGGCCTCCGCCGCTCAAATGATGATGTTCTCGCCAGTGCTGCCACGACAGCCTTTTGAATTTTCTCAACAACAAAATGAATATATTATTGGAAAAATTCTAAACTGAATGCAGAAGAAAAAGATTATTTAAACATTGTTAGCGTTTCAAATCTAACAATATAATAAGACTTACTTAAGTTAATTAAGATTGCATTTTCATTGTTCAATAAGAGTAACAAACTATACAAATATAATTTGATACATAATTAATTGTTTAAAAGGAAAATTGATGCTTAAAAGAATATCACATTTTATTAAATAAATTACCGACTTCTTTTAACTGTTTGACCTCAATTATTTAACAACCCTAATTTAGTTCACAAAATATCCAATTCTTTTCAATTTATTGATTATTTATTTCAATATATTTTTATCTTTTAGCGATCGCAGAAAAAGAGAAATATTATTCAAATATGTCATTTTATAGCCGCACCACCAGTTGGTGGAAAATTTTGCAAATTTTGTAAAATTTCCCAGTTCGTCATTTCCCTGGCTTGGTAATTATCAGAAGAGAGGAATGATTGATGCAACGCTGGACTCGCAGCAGAGTCGGAAACAAACTGCATCCTGTTGTGGATCCCAACCATCATCATTGACGCACTTCATCGCAAGGCCCAGTTTTCTGTGATCATTCCAGAGCGGCAACACCATGGCAGTGAAACTCGGTTACAAATACAGCTTCATTTTTGCTGCCACCACCCTCGTAAGTTTATTTTATCTCGTTCAAATTGACTAGAATCATTTTTTTTTTTTTTTAAATATAAAAACTGAATATTTATTTCATTTTAAAACGTAAATTTCTGGAAACAGATGGCCATTATGCTATGGGGAAGGAATGGCGAAGACGATGATAACCCTTTAGGTTACAAAGACGAAGGCAAGTAAATTAAATGCTCGATTTTTTTTGCAAATTTGAAACTTCAGGAAAAAGAAGGGGAAAAATGGAATTTTAAAAAATTTGGGTTTTGTAGGTGACGACCGTGTCATCCACCGATCAAAGAGGCAGAGTTACGAGTCAAAATTGAGGTCTACGTTTGATTTTTTAAAGGTGAATTTTTTAAATATTGAAATGAGAATATTAACAGACAGTTTGATTTAACAAAAGCAGTGCGTAAAATTTCCAACACCGAGTTTGCAAACGGAAGTGGCTCTTGCTATGTCAGGAAGCGCTTCCATTATTTTTCCTATATCATAGCGCTCAAATATTAGAGACAAGAATTAATTAAAAACAAAAAACATATTTGAAAATTCATTTCTCAATAAACGCCGAAGAGGAAAATTTAGGATTTAAATTTTCTTAAAATTGTTCTTTATTTTGTCTTTCCATGACTAAAATAAAAAATATATTTTCCAAATTATGATGATGAACTTAAAATACTAGTTATTTATTATCATTAAATTGCCACATTGTTAACAACCAATTTCATTTAAACTGATCGAGTCGGATCTCACAATCAGTTCCTATTCACGTGCGTTAATAAATAAAACACTTTTAAAACAGCAAGCGGAGAGATGCTGCAGAAAGAAATTTCCATACTTATTACCGGAAGATTCCTTGACCACTTGCCAAAATGGAAATGCTAATAAAAGTATAAAATATTAAATGAAATCCGAATCGAATAATGATATGAAAAAAAAATTAGACCCAAATTCAGCTAAAAACAAGGCCGGAAAGAATAGGAAGAAGCAAGGCCGAAGAAGTTTAGGCTTACTTCAAGCTGTGAACAACCTCTTAAAATCTTCTAACAGACCTAAGAGAGCATCCCCACGTAATATTCTTTTTATTATTAAATTATTAATTTCAATCTGACCGCGTACTTTTTATATATAGAAAAAATGCAAGTTTCTTCTGTGGTATGTACCATGCAAACAATTATTTTAATTTTGAGAAGGAAAAATCATTAATTAAAATATTTAGTGCTACATGGCGTGCATTTTCAATGACGCAGGACTCGTATGAAAAATATCTCATGTGGCCCTACTTTTTGGCAAAACTTAATTATTTGTAGCTAAATGGTTCTGCAGTAAACCTGGATGAAACTGAGGCAACATTCAATAGCTCAAACGAGGTTCAATATTGGGCACAACCCATATTAGATGCAATTTCCCAGTGTGAAGAGCCCGCGGCGTGTAATTTAATGTCACATTCCAATCTACCCTTTTAATAAGTGAAGATTTGTTGAAAAGGTGCTACGCCCGAGACCATTAAATCGCCAACAGGAAGATTCTGCAACATTAAACCAACCGTCTACATGTGTTGCATGTACCAGAAATTATATGAAGTAACAAAATATTTCATAAAAAAAATATACATATTGATTAAAAAAAAAATAATAGAAATGCGATCCTGATACTAGCAGTAAGCTACCTATATTGGGAGATTTTTAATTGGTTATTTCACATATATCTATTATTTTCCAGGGCCTGGTTGCAAAGATACAGGCGCCAAAATAAGGAAGCTTGATACTTCTCACGGGACCCAAAATCGCCTGAAGATGCAGCAGCAACAGCAAAGGAAGAAGAAGAATTGATTCAGTTACACTTATTCAAAGTTTGTTTCTCATGGCTTTTGAGTAAATTGGTTTTAAAAAAAATTGGATATTGTTGCCTTTTTTATAATTGTTGTTGTTTATTTGTCCATACTGATAAAATTCCATTTGATATAAAAACAGAAACTTAAGCACAAAAATGATAATTTGCTGAAAATAGAGGTCTGAAAATTTATGACCTGTTTTTTTTTTATTGGTTTCAAAATGAAGGGAAACTTTTCTCATTAGCAGCAATAGGGATCAATGGAGGTCAATTCAATTCATCTTATTTTTATTTTAGAGTAGTCTTCAGGTAATATAAAAAGGTTGCCATATTAGAAGTTTCAACGCCATCTAATCACAAACAGCTTTTTTCCAAATAAAAATTCAAATAACCTCAACTAACGCGTCTTGACAAAGCAGTTACACCTCTTTTCTCGTCACCACTTTAAGCACACAGAGCTGCAATCTCGGATGCTTAATTGCCTTTCAAGAAGTCATTGCGCTCATTGTCATGTCTCCCGCTCTGACTTTGTAATTATTCGGAAAAATTCTCTCCTCGGGAACAAAGGATGTGGTGAAAATAACAGCTCTCTTGCCCGCTTTGTTCGTACATATTCATCGGAGCGGCTGGAAATTTTCTTTCCCTCTCGTCTGTCCTTATTACTCCTCTCTTCCTCGCGCCCACTTTCTTTCTTCGTCGCGTAATTGTCTCCGCTCTAACTACGTGTATGAGAAAGAAAGAAGAAGTGCAAATTCCCCCTTCCACAAATTTTTGTTCCTTTTCGTCTCAATTCGCACTCAATGCACATACAAATAAAATTTTTCCTTTTCAGCAAAATTTTTTTTCATACAGAGTAAAATATTGCATTGGCCAAAACGCTCTGGGCTTTGAGCACACAGCACTACCCGTAGAAAGTGAGGCGAAGGATAAACATTAAAATGAGATCGGTCTAGTGCGAATACCATTTCATGGGCTTAAATTCGTTTCAAACGAAACGCTTATGGGCATGTACAGGAATGCGGGCATGGTCAATTTTAAATAAATGGTTGATTGGATTTGCTATTATGCAAGTAAAGCTTCAAAAGTTGTTGATTAAAATTTTAAAAATAATTAAATACAATTCATAATTTTAAAAATAAATAAATGTTTATCCATACTTTTAAAAGAAATTTTTATGTTCTAATTTACTCAGAAAGGGAAAGTTCTTTTATTGAAACCATGCTTCTCATCTTTGAATTTTAAGCAGCAAATCACGCTTTTAACAAAGGATAAGAGAGGAAGATAAGATCTTATGTTCCGATTAAAAAATTATTTCATAAGTCTGAAATCCTATCCTCTTTTGGAAGTGGAATAGGAAGTTTTTAATTTGCAACAAGTCAATCAACGAAGTCTACAAAGAGCATTTGACATGTCTGTCATGCCTAAATTCGCTCGCAGCATCGAACTTGCGACCTACTCAAACAGAGTTGGCAAATTATTTTGCTCTTGGCTGCGAGCCTTTGATCTCTGCCGCCAAACTGGCAATATCACTTTGCCAACCTTGTTGCGTCTCATGTGCTCTTGACTTGAAGCGTCTCACTTTGACGAAATGTGATTTTTTTTTTCTTTCAAATCAACAAAAAACTTCAAAAAGCAATCTTGCAAGTTTGAGAGAGCTAGTGTTGTGTATCGCATCAAGAAGCAAATCAGTCGTGCTTTCCCTTTTGCTTTGAGAAGAAAAGCAGCGTCTCTTCTCTCATCATCTTTCCTTCCCCTCGACAGCTGCTGCCACATTAATAATTCATTTCGGAGCAATCACTGCTTCAAAAGGTTCGCCGCCCGCTTTGAAATAAGCAGCTTTTGGCGCCACCAAGGGTTTCTTTTGGTCAAATGAAGTGAGGAGCGAAAATATAAGTCCAAACGAAATGTGCCTTTCTTCACTGTCCCTATGCCAGCTTTGTGCAAAATTTCGCCAAAGATTTTCCGCAAAAAAATCGCTCGGGATTTATGCTTTCAGAATACATGCGAATGAGAGAAAACCCTTGAGAATTTTGCCTGCTGTTTGTCCTTGTCTCAAAAAAGAAGAAAGAGAACTATTCCTTGAAAGAGAGAAAAATGAGGTGAATTATTTTTTTTAGTACATTCTCTTTGCTATGTAACAATTGCATGTATTTATGTATTCAAAATAGTAAAATTTATTCTAAATATTTAAACCATTCGAAAATTACAAAATCATAATTGAGAAAATCAGAATGAGACTAAAAACTTGTTATTTGATCAAACAAATTCTCCAAATTTTTCAATATTTTAATGACGATAGTTTCATAAGAAAAAAGGAAGAATTTTCGTAACGCTCACGCTCTCTTGAGTTATCAGTTGACATTTTTTTAATCCTTTTTGATAATAAAAATTAAAGTTGCAAGAATTTATTGACTGACATGAAAATTGATTAAAAGATTGAGTTAAAAATGACAAAAGAAATTTATCGCTTCTCAATAATGGCAATCTCTAGTATATTCACATCTGCCTTGTCTGGTTGACAAAGGCTGACTAATTTTACCGTCACCCTTTTTCGCGACAGTGCAGAAGGGGTTGCGATTTCTGCGACACTCTCTCGCCCCTAATCCGTCGTCCCCCTCTACATATTGTGCGCTGCGTGCGGGTATCTCTATAGGTATGTGTGTCAGTGTGCTAGGACTGCAATTATCAATGAACAAGGAGAGCCCTTAACCGCCCGTTCGCCCCGGCAGCTTCGGAGGCACTCGGTGGCGGCGGGCGATGAAAAAACAAGAGTGTGCATTAAAAAGCGAAGATGCTGCTTTGAAGTGGCGCGCCTCGGCTGCCGGGTGAGGCTGGTCGGGCTGGGTGGGTTGGACGGACGGTCGATGAGGCGCGTTGCTTAGCAACCCAGCCTCCGGCACACTAACCCTATTGTTGTGTTCGCGGGAACAAGTGCCTGCCGATCATTTGTCGCCGAAAAAAAGTGCTCAGGTGTGACCCCGCCGAGCGAGACCGGCGGCGTGACCACGCACGTGACCATTCGTTCTGGGCCGGGTCGTTTTTAAGGTCTCTTGGCGTCATCACGGTGTGCGTGGGTGACCCATTATTCAGCAATTACACGCATCTTGGCGATACATGTGACTTTTTCCATAAAAAATACATCCTATCTTGGTTAACGCGATGCTTATTATTTTTTTTTTAGAACAATTAAACTTTTTGGCGCTTTTTGGTATAATTAATAATTTATAACTTTTGATTTTCTTATGCACACCAACGCCCACGTAATTTACGAAATCATGAATAAAAAAAAATATTATTGTGTTCCATAATGAGAAAGTATTGTAAATTTTGGAACGACATAAATAAAGAAAAATATTTTTAATTATACACTTATATCTTAATTTCTTTTTAATTTTCATCTGCTGCAATTAAAATATTCCACTTTGTGCATTAGGATTGAAGGATTATAAATCCTTAATTATTTATAAAAACTTCATTAATATTACTTATTTTGAAAAAAAAAAAAACTTTAACGATTTTAATATCAAACTATATAACATTATGGGTCTGTCAAAATATGATTGATACAGAAACAATTTCTTCAATAAGTTTGCTTTAATTGAAAAGACCTTTAATTTAATTTAATTCAATTTAATTATTTTTTTTAAATTTAATGTAATTTTTACTAATATTTAGGTCAATTTAGGTTTAGATCAAGAACTTAAAGTTACGTATAAAAATTTAAATATACATGTAAAGTTATTGAATTAAATAAATATTAATAATTTATTTTATTACTTAGAAAGAACTAACTTCTTCAAACATATTCTCAAGGATTGTGGAATAGTGAAAAATTATCAAAATTGTTATACGCCTCTTGTATCTACATATATACTGAAAATAATATAATTATTTCATGTCTAGTCGCACATCAAGCAGTAAAACTTGAATAAATGTCTGCTGATAAGCTCTTGGAGGGATGGTAAAAGACACTACTTATCTCATTAAGGCTTATCTCGCTTTATGAATTTATGATTCCGTTCCGCCTCATCCGAGTCAATCAGTTCATAAAAAGGAAGTATAAAATTCCCCCTGCACAAGCCGTTATATTGGAGCGCATTAAATGAGCAGAATTTTATGTCGAATTTCTGCTGAGATAGAGACGCTGGAATCAAAGTTGGAGGCAGACTGATTGGCAAGTGGATGAATTCTTAAAACCGATCCAGCGGAGAGCGAGAATGCAATCAAAGGAAACCACCGAGATTGAAGCCCAGGGGTTAACTTTAAAGGACCGTCTATTTGCAACCAAGAACCAAGTTGGAAATGGTGTTCCAGATAAAACAAGTTGATTGATTTTTTTTTTTTTTTAATAATCTTGCGACCTTCTAGATAAAATAATATTTTTGTCTGTATCAGTCTGTATATTTTATAGTTTTTCCTATTAAGTTTCTGCCATTAGAATTTTCTACGAACTCACAGAAGATCCGATGCGAAACAGCTTCATTTTCGTCGGAAAATTGCCTACGAGCTTTACTATCGTGAACACAGTAGTGCTTTGATAGAGTTCATCAATGTTGCAAATCCACGAAGTGCTGGTGATTGCTTTCGTTATTGCGAGAATTGAGGCTCAGAAAGCAATTTACTGGAGCTCTGCACATAGACATTTTTTATGTGAGCAGAAAAAGTGAAGTGTAATAAATTCCAAAAAAAATATTTGGGAACATGTGTTCTGAATTTTGCAGATGAAAACTAATGACTAGCAGTATCCTGAGGCATGTTTAGTTTTGAACCAAGCAATGATTCATGAGTTTTCAATATGCCATTGGAATTTATTTACGCTAAATTATTTCATGGTATTTTTCCGTGGGTATAAGATTCCTGATTTAATCGAATTCAAATAATTCAATGCAAAATAATTATTTACTAATCAAATTTTTTGCAACTGACCTCACCTCGTCCATTGACTTTTGGATGGCTCTCAATTAATATATTGTATGAAAAAAAACTAGCTTTGTATATAACATCAATCAGTTGTTGTTACATAATGAGAAGCCTATGCTGCAAAAATTATTACAATTGAACTGCTG